AAAGAAAGGCCATCTCTTGTCACACCCTCAAATCGATGTGGGTGACCCGATCCGAGGTGTCACATTAGGGCCACCGGAGCGACCTACAATAAAAATTCAGGAAAATTTAAAATTTTTGTCAATCCATTTAAATCTGTAAAATAATTTATGGATAAAATACAAGTTCATACTCAATATATATAAAAAAATCAAATGTGACATACATTCCCCCTAATTACACTTGTACCGTACTTTGCCAACACATCCAAATGAACTCCTGTTACAGAGGTTGATAGCTGAACTGGATCAATTCTTTTAATCTAAAACAGTGAATAAAAGAGTGAGCTTTGGGAAGCGCAGTAATACAGAACTACCAAATGATGCTGAAGGACATGCAGATAAATAGAAAAACATAAATTTTCCTTATTGATTCAGACGTCTACAAGTTTTTGGGATGAGCTGAGGTTCCACTGATATTTCTTCGAGTAAAAGACATGAAGATTTTAGTTCAGATGAAACATTCAAATGATTAAGTTCAGGAGATCAGAATAGGATGTCTGGTGTGTTCCAACCAAAACCAGTGAGAAGGTATAAATCTTTTTAAAACAATAACATTTTAAAACATATTTTTAAAACCATAGTAAAACCCTCGAACATAACTGCATCCATAAGAACTTACCCTAAGCACACAGTAAATGAGCCACCCTAAGGGAATGCCTTGGGGCCTATAGGCCTACCGAAGGGTCTCCTTAGGTCTATAAGGATTTACCAGCTTGATCAGAGTTGAACCTCCATACTCTAGAATCCTACACATACAATATCTAGTAAAAATCATATTTAACAGTAAACAGTAATATCAGGATCGTGATCCAGTAAAATCTTGTAAGTGTAACAATGAAATAAACAATATAACTTCCCTCCACCCATACACCATATGTAGTCCCATGATTTACCCAAGGGAGTGCCTTGGAGCCTTAAAGCCTACCAAAGGTCACCTTAGGACCGCAAGGAATTACCAACTTGATCAGAGCTGAACCTCCATAATCCAGCCTACCCAAATAATGTCCCAATAAAACAGTTCAAGTAGTAACCAATAAATCCCATGATCCATAAATCAGGAATGATTATATGTTCCAGTGAAAATAGGAGATCATAGAACACATATCATGTAGCCGTAGTTTATTAACATTAAATCAAAACATCAGTAAATCTGTAATTTCGAAAAATCGTGTTTTAAAATAGATAAAACATTTACATGTCACATAAGGAACACACTAGAGGATATATTATTTCTTCGGAGGTATTTTGTATTTATCAAGTAGGGAACCATGAAACTTTTGTAAATTGATAGGATTTTAGAATCAATATCATATAGTATTCGGGTATTTTTCGGAGGCGTTGAGTAGTCATGAAGGTACCCAGAATCTTTTGTATCAGAGTTACTTAATATTTCAAGCATGTCAAGAGTGATTCCATAATTTCGACAAACAAGGGTTTTTCAGACATTTTGATTCTTGGGGGATTCCCAATAATTTATCTCAATAAGGGTAGATCAATAATTCATGGTAATTAAGATTCATGTCGATTTATCAGGATATCGAGTCAACTCGAACTGAATAAATCCTAGCACTATTGATACCTGTCAACTGGTCAAACCGATGCACTTCAAGGATATTCACACTTTAATACTGACATCACTAGCCGAATTGATCATCTTCTGAATCATCGTTGAACAGATCTTAAGAAGACGAACATATATTCCCTCCCCAATACTAATTGCACTAGTTGAACGAACCTCATTTATAATCAACATCGACCAGATCTTCACATGATGAACAAATACTTCGGTGGTGTTTAATTTATTCATGAATTGTAACAATATCCACTTATTTTAAATCGTTACAAAACGGGTCACTTCAATAGTCAAGGTTAATTCGATCATCTTAGACTTCAATGTATTCTGGTTCCTTTAAAGTTCAGGGTATTTTGGTCATTTGAACATTTGAGGTTATTTTAGTTATTTCGTAGCTCTTGACATTTCGGTAATAATGATCAATCCAAACATATGTACTTTTTCTGGTAATTTTGGTCAGATATATCCGTTCAGCGTTATTTTTTGCTTTTAGGGGTAATCTTGGTCTTTTAGCAGTACAAGGACATTTTGGACAAATTACAATTCAAGGGTATTCCAATCATTTCCTTCCGTCTAGTTTTTCCATTTAATTCAATTCTTTTGAATAATTCAAACATAAATAATACTTCAAATATTTTAGTCTTTAGGTGATTGTTGATAAATCAACAATTATAGGTCTTGTACATTCTCAAATGTTAGGATCCGATTATTAATGACTATTCGAGTAGATCAGGAATTTAACAGATGAAACAGTGATATATTAAATTAAAATACGAATTCTTAAGGTACGTTCACTCTTAGGTCAGTCCGTGCCATTTTTACCTCATAGGGGTAATTTCATAATTTTATACTCAGGTAATTTCAATATTAAAGCTTTTATCGATGATAAATAGAATTTAGAGATTTAGAGATTATTTGTTCTTCATACCAATCATTGTACTTGTGGTGGTTTGTTTGTACTTGTGGTGGTTTGTTTGTACATAAACATGTGAGTTGTAATTGGGTACTACTCCTTCCCGAAACAAGGGGGGGGGGGGGTTGGGGGGGGGAACAGATGATGGTGTTGCAAGAGTCAAGGGATTGCACGCTTCTGATTTATATGATGAACTCCTCATATCTTACCAAACCAATCTTTTTAGATGCTCTTTTTCACAACATCACATGTAATTATCGGTCTTTTATTCATCTTCTATTATAATCAATATATTTTTTTATCTTTTATATTATACAAAATAAAAGCTACCTATATATACGAAGATGTATATTACATTGGGTTAAAATATGTTTTTATCACGAACATATTAAGTGGTCTCAGTAGTTAAATGGAGTATTGTTCTCTCTTAATGTTTTAGATTCAAGTAGTTATGTCTACAGGGTGTCTATATATTGTTAATAGCTAAATTTTTAAAATGATTAGTTCATTATAAGATATTAAAAGATTTAGAATTTATACCGAGAAGTCATTGAACTATTTCAGTAAAAAAATTATTGTTGTTCTCTTAAAGGTTCTTGACTCGAACAATTGCATCCACATGGTGTGATGCATCGTTAACTAAGAAAAATTCTACATATTAATACTTATAAATTTTCATAATGATTGAGTATTGGCTTTTATGAGTAATTAAATATAACCTAAAGACTAAGGCTTACATATGGCACCATTAATATCAGCCTAACCTAATTTGTGTTTGTGTCTACAACATGTACTATATGTATCTTTTTAAATATAACAAAGAGATTGAAAGTCAAATTTGATTCACATTTTGATGTCATGTATAAAGATTGACAACGAGACATAATATGATAGATTTTTATCTGTTTTGATTTGATATAGTAAAAGTGTAATTTAATTTTGATTGAATTCAATCATAATTTTAATATAATTTATATTATCAAACCTAATTTTAAAAATAAATTATATATATATATATATATATATATAATCTTAAAACTTTAACAAAAATAACTGGACAATTATGCATCCACTCCAGATTTTAACCACAAAATTCATATATTATATAAATAAAAATTGATATTCTAATAAATATATTAAGATAAATTTTACGACTTCAACCCAACCTCAAAAGTTTTAACAAGAAAAAATCCATTCTATCCAAAACTAGATTTAAAGTAAACGATCTTATTAAATCAGATTGGTCTGAACTCCATTTTAATTTTTTTGAGTAAAGTATACAAATGATCTTCTTATTATAGGGTGTTACTTTGTTGGGTCCTCTAACTATTAAAAGTTACAAAATAGTCTCTCAACTATAGGATGTTACTTTGTTGAGTCCCCCAACTATTAAAAGTTGTAAAATGATCACTCAACTATTCATTATGTTCCAAATTCGTCATATTCTATTAAAGTTGTATTATGACTATTCGTCATATTCGTCATATTGTTGTTAATTTTAAACGGAAAAGGACGAGTATAGAACATAATGAATAGTCGAATGATCATTTTGAACTTTTAATAATCTAGGGACCCAATAAAATAACATACTAAAATGAGAGACTATTTATAGCTTTTTAATATCGAGAGACTCAATAAAATAATATTCTATAGTCGGAGGACCATTTGTATACTTCACCTTAATTTTTTTTATCATCCCTAGTTATTGGAGATTGGTGGATGAGGTTGAAGAGTTGAGGTTAGGCAAAGTAAAGAACTTTTAAAATAGTGTTCTTCATCCTCTTCTTCTTCTGGCTTCATTGACTGACAAGAAGAATCCTATTCTGATCATCATGCCATTAGAATTTAGAATCCAAGCCTGCAAAAATAATTAAAAAACGCTTGTGTCTGTCTTTGTTCCCTTTCCCAACACAACCGAAACATTATTTTCTGAGAAGAACACATTAATTATGCAGAATCATTTGAAATTCAAAAGCAATGAGAGAAGAATCTCTTCACTTTTTTAATTTGGCTCCAACTCAACCTTCATGAAAAATAACACAAACCCTAGAATAGTCTCTCATAGGTTTATCAATGGAAGCATATTTTTAAAAAGGGCATTGGGTTCTTACTTCTTCATATGTTGGGTTGGGTGTAAGAGAAAATCAGTCCCCATGTGCAGATGTCTTTTGCCTCCAATCACCATTGCCAAAATCTAATTATAAGATAATATATATAGGTTGTATAGAAGGGACATGTGGAGATTGTTGTCCTCTTGAATATTTCAAATTATCGTATAATTTTATGAATTCATCCCATTGAAATTTTATAAATTCAACCATTAACATATAATTCTGGTCTATTCTTATACAGTTAAATGCCTACATTTCGTATGTATATTTCTTTCATGTTTGTATCTACTTTGGTCATCTTCAAACAAAATCATTGGCTTTTTGCTGATAAAAAGAAGTTAGATACTACGCAATAATTTGTAAAAAAAGAAAAGTTCTGGATTTGCTTCCACAACACAATTTCTCCGGTTTTTGTTTTGCCTTCTTGCACAATAAAAGATACATCTCATACAGTGAAACTGTATTTCTTTTCACTGCTTTCTGAAAAAGAAGAAATTTCCTCATCTAATAAACCATTGGGGCACACCTCAGTAGTTTCACACGAGCTTGGAGATGAGGGCTGAGGAGGAGAACCAAAGACAGAGCTGTCTTCCACTGTGAAATCAATACAGCTTGTCTGATTTCTGCCAGAACCATGTTTTTTACCTTTTCTCTTCCTTTGAATCGCCTTGAAAACTAGCCATTCCCCAAGCCTTTCCCTACTAAACATCTGCAATACAGGAAATCCATCACATCAAAAACCTTTAATGTCTGCTGGCTGCTTTATATTTGCAGGTATCCGACGTTATAATTCGTACCTGTTTTGGATAAAGTGATTGAGCAGAGCCAACAAGGCGAAACCGATGCAACAGCCACCGAGTGTTGGTCTCATTTGAACGCTTCCTTTCACAGAAAACCAAAGCTTGTCTCATACCAATTACTCGATTGGTCCCGGAAGCTAAAATTGGTTTCTCTTTGCCTATGGCCTTCCAGTAACCACAACTCTTGCGTTTGTTGTTACCGTCATTACCATGCCTTTTGCTAAAAAAATACTTGTTTTCTTTCACATCGCCTGAAAACCCACAAAACATTAACATTTACAGGTATGATACTAAAAGCATTAAGGTTGAGGATTATTAAACCGAATGGGGAATCTAACCGGGCAGGCTCCAAGGATCGGTCTGCAAAACGTCGAGCTCGGGAATGACAGAAGCAGGTAAAGGAAGATTCAAAGCCTTTCTCTTCAAGTAATGAACCACAAGCTCTTCATCTGTAGGATGGAACCTGTAACCAATGGGCATCTTCACTCCTCCATTAACAGCAAAGTTCTGACCTTCCATGCTAACCTTAAGCTCACTTATCTGAATCTCTCAAGTCCCAAACCTGAGCTAGCTTAGATGATTGGAATCAAGCAAAGAAACCCATGTACGAATGAGAAAAGGAAACCCCAAAATAAAGGCTAAGGGAACAAAAGGGGGAACTTGTGGGGAGAAGAAAGGCAGGAGAGGTTCGTTTTATATATAGGAGAAATGGGTATTGGCCAAAGTGGAAAACAACCCTCCTTATTTCTGACTCGGAGGAGTCGGAACTCTTTCGTTGACTGTAATAAAATAAGCAATATTGCTTTATGTTGACGGGTCTTTCTTATACAAACGTGTAAGAAAAATTGTACCTTCTCCCTGGTCAAGTCTCTCTCTCTCTCTCTGCAAAAGACCCCACTTTGGTGAGTAGTTATGCTGTGCAAAATGCAAATGACCTCTCCCAGGTTAATTTATAACTGTTTTTAACTTAAAATGATATTATGTTTAATTTAAAATGTTATGTAATTAATAAAAATTTTAGTTTAATTAAGACTTTTATATTACAATGAGTTTTGACTTAAAAATTTATTTTTCACTATAATGATTTCGACTATAATTAAGAATATCTTGATAATAATCTTTTAAGTTGCAACCTGATATTTACTAAAATTACTCTAAAGAGTTATACAATAAATGTTTTGTTACATTAATTTTAATCATTTGTTAACTTTATATTAATCGATTGTATTTTATACTTATGTGCTAATTTTATCCCTTCATTTTCATGGACCCACAAAAACACACCGTCCAACTATCCAAGGGCTCAGATCATGCTTGTAAGACATGATTCATTGTATCCCAACCGCCCATTTCATCCCTTCAACTTTACAGCATCACGATTAGCCTAAACAGTTCAGTAAGAGATGGGTGACAGTTCTGTGGTTAAGAAAATGTGTTCCTTAATTCCCTCAACTTTGATTCATTGGTTCCTTGTATGATGAAAGGGAAAACCTTGGAATTTACCCAAAGTGAAAGTGTTTGATCCTTTTGTTTCCTAAATTCTAAGGCTCGAAGTTTTGATGATGAGAATGAAGATTTTAATGTTTTGGTTAGCCTCCAACTTAATCATGCACATAATTGTAAGTTTTTGGCTTAGAATCAAAGTTTTTAGTTTTAGCTTTTATTCCCCAACTACTAGATTTGCTTCATAATGTTGTTGGTCATGGAATATTAATTATCATTCATCTTTTGACCTTTCACATCTTTTTACAGCTTATGTTCCCACTCAATTTTAACCATAACTACACAATTCTACAATGAGATTGTTGGGAAATTTGAATACGTGGCCAAATTTTGTTATTACTTCGTTTAATACGTGGATTTAATTTATATATTTTAATTTAATCAATTTTTTTAACTTAAATAATTTAATATATTAGATCATAGCTCTGTCTATGATTAGAAGAATGGAAATGATAAAATTAACTAGATCCACAAAGTATACATAGCATGAGGACTAAGAAAAGAATTAAACCAAAAACGAATCAGTCACTTATGGCCCTATGATGAAAGGAAAAGTGAAACTACTACATTGTAATTTACTTTTGTTTTCTACTCCAAGTTAGGTAAAAGATTGATTTTGGGAGACACATTCTTTAAGTTTCTACAATGAACATGTAAATTATATAAAATAATATTAAAATCAACTCTAAGGAAATGTTTTATTCTTTTTACTCATTGTTTGAGTGTTGTTTTTGGTGTGTTAGACTTTGAATTCAATTCAAAGTATTCAAAACATGTGATAAATGCTGATGTAAAAGCATTCACTATTATAGTTTACCGTTAATAATGAAATGTTTTTTTAATTGGAAATGCATGGACATTAAGTAACCCAATTGTGCATTGTAAGAGGAAATTCCCAACCTAAAACGACAGAAGCAATAGACAGAAAAAAGAGTTAAAATAAATAAATAAAACAAAGAGAAGAGAAGCCTGTCCTAATTTCCATCTTTTCTTAATCCAAAGCCTAGTCAACATTGGTGATGTATCATAACCCATTATTGAGAAAACCCTCAACTTTTCAATAATTCAAATATGAATGCCCAATGTTTTTTAAAAATAATTTTAACATTTTAGAGGGATTATAAGTTAAACTTTATTTAGAATGGATTTTAGTTATCATGATATATATATATATTTTTGAAATAGGTACTTTGTATTATAATTGCAAAGTAAACCACCTCAAAGACCTCGTTAAAAAATCTTCCTAACCCTAAATGGAGGAAAAAGAGTATACCTTGAGGTGGAAAGGAACAAACACAAGGAAGCTCTAACATCAAACAGGACATAACCCAAACCACAACCCAAACATACATCACCAACACATTCCAAACAGCAGTGAGACTAAGAACCAAAAGGACAGCAAAAACTGATCTAAATAAAAAACCGCAGCACTGGGATGTATCCGAACAGCAGCAGAAAACTGATTCACCAAACCTGCTAAAACACAACAACATTACACTGCAGAACACTATAACTTCTTCAATCTTCAATCAAGTTCGCCAAACTTAGCACCAATGGACAAAATCCAAAATGCAATCACTCCCCAACAAAGAAAAACATATCAGCAGAACATAAAAACAAAAACCACTCAATATTTAAGCCTGAAAAAGGTGCTGGAATATCTCGCAACAACCATAATCGATTGTGACAGCTAATCAAACCTCTCAAGCTTTTCCCATAAAACTGAAAGCAGGAACCGAAAAACAAACAATGAAGCAAAGGCCCAGAGAAGAAAACCAAATAGCTTCAGCCAAAACACTAGATTTCCAAGCTAATAATAAAAACATGTCACAAACTACCCATCAGCTAAGCCTCACAATTAACCACCACTAAAAATAATAGACTCCAGACTTTGAACAAAATCTTGAGCATAAGGGTGAACTCCAGCCAAAATAAATTAGCCCAAACCCTACCCAACAGCTCAAACGACAACAATCTCTCAAGCACCTTCTCTCTCGAAGCTGAAAAATCCACACCCAGAGCTTTACCAATTGCTAAAGTTGCTTCAGCTTCAATAACACTACCCAAACGACGGCCAGAGATATCCCCACCACGTCTTTCACTTTCGATCATCGACACTCTAGGTTTATGCGACATACTCTGGCCTTTCGCTTTCGACTTCTTCCTTTTTGAATCTGTTGACTTTCTTGGAAGCTCTATCATTAACCCGATTAACCCCCTTATTAACGTATAAGACTATAATATAATTCGAAGAATTAGAGAGATCTTTATAAAAACCTCCTCCAATGCTTGGATAGAAGACACCTCTTCAATAGGCACGTCCTGCAGCCTGGAATTATTGTAAATAGATTGGGCCAACAACAACTGATTTGAATCACTATTTATCTCCATCAGCCCAAAACTTTCATCAGCATGCTTAATAAATGGCCCAACGATTGGCAAAATCGGACTTCATGAAGCCCTACTACACCAGCTGCGATGTTTTCCACGTAGATATCCGCATGCACCAATTTTGCTGCCAACGTTCCACTATCGATAATATTCCTCTGATTCAACGTCTTGAACTGCACATCCCCCATACGACCTTTCTCGGGACCAATTTCTTTTGAACATACCTCTACGAAACTAGAAGCATCCGCCATTACATCGGCGACTGCATGCCACGCTCCGCCATCGACCAAGGATCCATCAATGAAAGCACGAACCTCTCAACATTATTGAACTTCCAAAAGAAACAACTCCCTAATTACAGAAGCTACCAGTAATCTCAGACCATGACTAAATGACCCATCATTCGACACTATGGGCACGTCGAATAAACTATTACCGACAGCCACCTCATTTTCCACAACAGGAACACGAAACCAACATCTGCAGCAGAACCCTCCTGCAACCTAGAACACATCTCATCACCGACTATGTTGTATTCGCCGCTCCACCACCGGACGGAGTGCCATCAATGAACACACAATGCATTACACAAAAATAGGAGGACCAGTGGACAACATCTAAAAGCAACACCAAAGGACATCTATCTAGCCAAAGAAAACACAATACAACTGAAAGACGAATGAGAGGTGATGACTATCGAGCAAACCCACTCACTCAATACAAGCTAAGAGATGATGAAGAGGTAACAACGACAATGAAAAATGAACTGCTTCTTCAAATAGAACAAACTTGAGAACATGAACCACTACACATAGTCAAGAGACAAACTGCCGTACAATCATCCACTTTCGAAGACAGAAACAACCTCTATCGCGAGGCGGTGGCCACCTCCACCACTGTCCTCGCTACTTAAAGTCATACTTATTAAAAGATAAAATAATAAAAGAAAAGAAAAGGATCGGCAACCAACAACCAGCCTTAAGGGCTGGTGCCATTGCCTCACCGGAAATTAGATTTATGGCTTGGACTCAACACATATGGCTTGATCCCTAGGCTGTTCAAATTCTAAGATCTCTAAAGACAACAAATTTTCTTTTATTACTAAAACCGTTCAATGAATTCTCTTGATCTTATATGTTACAACTCTGCCTCTCTGTTTATTTTATGTTAAAAGTATAAATATAAAAAATGATATATTTTTTAAAATATATAATTATATTATTCTTGTTTAAAGTAGTCCCTTTGTGAATGAAATTTGTCCTTTGCTTGGTTATCACAGCTGTTTGGTTATCTTTTTTTCTATGATCCTTGGGCGGTGTTGTCGCCCTACAGATCCTGACCGATTGTCCTACTATATTTTTTTTATTAAGATCGTCCTAGTATTTAGTTGGCAGAATTTTTTAATTAATTAGTAAATGTCATTTCAAGTATTACTTCTCCTACCTAGCTAATTGTCTTTTAGTTCATGTTCATGAACCATGTAATTCCTTTTATTTAATTTAAAACTTATGCATACCAATAATTGAAATTAGCTACATACTACAAGCAAGTTATATCTGCAGCTGTCCCTAGCTAGGCTAAGCTTCTTGCCCTAATGTCTACATACATGATCTCTAAACCATATGTTATGTTCCAAAAAGATTAAGTAAAATGTCTAGTTTCTAAATATATTTATATATTGTTTGA